CTGCCAAGAAGGACTTGGTGGTGCTGGTAGATGAGAGGCTGGACATGACCCAGCAATGTGCACTTGCAGCCCAGAGAACCAATCATGTCCTGGGCCATATGAAAAGCAGCATGGCCAGCAGATTGAGGGAGGTGATTCTGCCCCTCTACTCCACTCTGGTGAGACCTCATCTGAAGTGCTGTGTCCAGCTCTGGGATCCTCAGCATAGGAAGGACATGGACCTGTTGGAGTAGGTCCAAAGGAGGGCCAAAAAACTCATCTGAGGGGTGGAACATCCCTCCTGTAAAGACAGGCTGAGAGGGGGATATTCAGCCTGGGAAGGACAAGGCTCCAGGGAGACCTTTTAGAACCTTCCAGTACCTTAAGGGAGCCCACAAGAAAGCAGGAGAGGGACATTTGACAAGGGCATGTAGTGACAGAACAAGGGGGAATGGATTTAAACTGAAACAGGGCAGGTTTAAATTACATATTAGGAAAAAATTCTCCACTCTGAGGATGGTGAGGCACTGGAATAGGTTGCTCAGAGAAGTTGTGGATGCCCCATCCCTGGAAGTGTTCAAGGCCAGGCTGGCTGGGGATTTGAGCAATCTGGTCTAGTGAAGGGTGCCTATACCCATGGCAGAGGAGTTGCAACTAGATGATCTCTCAAGTCCCTTCCAACCCAAACCATTCCATGATTCTATGATGTCTCACAATGTAGTTATCAAACAAGGCGCTTTGCCAGTGCTTCAAAAATAAAGCAGTAGTGTGAGGGTTTGCTGCTGTAGGTGGGTCCAGCTTAAAAACCTTTGGAGGTTGTAATTTTCTGCGCCCTTGAGAAGTCAGTTCCTCACCCAGAACATGTAACTTGCAAAAAATGACATCACAAGAGTTACAGCTCACAAGGAATTATACTTTTCCCTCAGTTTCCCAACAGTTCATTGATTTTATTGAATCCAGAAACTAATCAGGCAAACAGAGATCAGGAAGACAAAAGCTTTAAAATGGTGAACTGAAAGTGTAAATCTGTGACACACTGTAACCACTCAGTGGAGTAATTTAATAACCATTTAGTATAAAGATGTTGAGACACACTTCTTTTTCACCCTGTGCTTGCTAAAGTGAGGAAAACCTAAGTAGTCTCTACCTGCAATAGCAAGAACTTTTTGAGAATCACCACAATATCTAACATTAACCTTAAGACACCAATAATCTCATTCAACTGATGAATTTTGGAAATGTTTTATATTTTAGTTGCAGCAATAGCATCTTCCTACCAGGGGTCTCTCTCCTCATGTCTTGACATGTCTTCTACCTCCACAGGGACACCGATAGCAAGGTTCCTCCAAAATGCAAGGAGATGGGGTCTCCACAAGGCCTCTGACTTTGGAAATCATTGCTTCTTCTCTTTTGCGCTAGGCAAACTCACACTGAATGGCTGCCTCAGTACAAAGTTGAAATGCATTTTTCAGGGAACTCTTCAGTTTCCATGGGGTATTTAATTTTGTTATTGGCATCCATGGAGAACAGCATATTTGATGCAGCTTCTTCAGCTCCTCTCAAGTTGTCTTTTACCTTGTTACAGCACATTTAGGCATGGAGCAAGGTACTCTTAATAGGTGCTTCAGCATACATATTTTAGTTATTTCTGCAATGCCTAATTTACTTGTTAACAGCTGATGATTGTTCCATTTAGGAAAACAATTATTAAGATGAAAAGTTCATAAATATGAACATACTTAACAATAGTCTTCCAAAATGGTGTTAGCACATCTGCCAGCACCTATGTACAAACCAAGTTGCTGTGAAAGCCCTAATTCTCATGGCTGGGCTTTGCGAACAAAGATTTGGGAAGGGCTCTACCCACGTTTGTTGCAAGCGCGTTGCTATGAAAGCCCTAATAACATTTTTTAAACCCTCAATCTTCAGATCCTATTGAAACGATACTTTTAACTTCCTTTGTTGAATACACCATTTCCAAGCTGTTTTTCTGGAAGAGAAGCTAGAGCCACAGAAATAGGTTGCGAGTCTTTCAGATAGGATAGGGGCACTCATACATTTGTCAGCCTGAGCCAACACCAGCAAGCTTTGAGTGCTCCTGAGGATTATATAAGGCAACAACTTTATAAATACATTCTCAGTAAACATGAGAAATTAGGCAGGGGGTCTCCTATAGACCACCAATGTAAGAACACTAACAGGTTGTGGCAGTGCAGTACAGCTGCTCTACGTAATCCAAGCCCTGATAGCCAAGAGTTTTTACATCCTCAAGCAGGTGGTATCAATTTATTAATTTCTTAGGTTCAGCCTCAGCAATGTAAAGCTGTGGTTAACACAAATTATTGGAGCTGGGTAGTAATCACTGCTTTGCTTTTTCTAGCTACATTTAAGCTTCACAGTTCACATTTAAGTTTTAGCTGCATTTGGACATATCCATTTTAAGAGAGATTTTAGGTCATGGACTTCTTATCTGTGAAACTGTTGTCCATTGATTTATCATTTAACATTTTTCTAGTCAGAAGACATGATAAACCACAAAAATGGTAGAGGCAATTCAATACACAGTGAGAATCAAAATGTTTGCTCCACAGGAACATTCCATGTTCATCATTTGTTTGCCTGACATCAGCTGGGGCACTAAAAATGTCAAATCATGCATAGAGCGTTGGTTGTTAATATAGATTTTTGTCAACCTAAAAAGATTAAAGATTTCAAACCAATTAAAGTAATTAGATACTCAGAGTGGGGTGAAGGCATACACATTTTGTTGGCTTCATTCAAACTTTGGGAGTTAATGCAAAACAAATATGCTTCGTGCAACCTTTAGAAAAGGGTAACTCAACATTCAGCCTGAAAAGATGCTGTTCTTTACTTGGGAAAAAAAAAAGGGGAGTTGTAGAATAACTGTGGGCCATGGAGATTGAAAGGTAAAATCCATGTAAACAACTCAAGATAGCTTACAGATATAGAAAACAAAGCAAGAAATATTAGCTGCTTTTTGAAGGAGAACACTGTTAAATAACTTGCCATGAGAATTGAAATTCTTGTTCACATAATGTGATTTTTCACTGTTAGCCCTTATTTCTGCTTCTCTACTCTGATGAGTAGAGAACCTCATCCCTCACAGATGAGAACCTGGTCACAGACATGGAAACTCAGGAACCATAATTTAGAATTCTGCAAGTATGGATTTGCCCCACAATAATCAGGTACATAATTCCTCATGAAGCTAAGTAAGAATCAATATTTGGGCTGTTTCCCAGTAGAGCCTAAGAGTATCTTATTCAACTCTTCTGAAATTCAAAGGTACTTCCTCTAACAGGGTATGTAGTAAATGCTAAAAAGCTTGTACATGGTTCACCTCATCTTCATTGTAACTACACCATGTTCCACCCCACCCTACCATGATTCAACTTGTGGCCACCATCTGATGTCAAGACAAACAAATACTGTGCTGTTTTGAACAATTTTTACTCCAAGATTTGTTTCGGTTTTCAGCTAAGGTGACCTCCCTGATCTGAGTCTTCTGTTCAGGGAAGCTACTTCAGTCCCAGCTGACCAACATCCCGCTAATCCTCTCCAGGAGAACAGGATTTCCACAAGAACCATTGTAGCGAGCTCCCAGCCTGGTAGTTCCCCCTCTTTTATGTATCTTACTATTTCTTTTTATTTGTAGCTGAACTTCTGGTCATCTCAGCATGTGGGAAATAAAACCAATCCCCAAGCTCTGTCCTCCTCCTTTGATTCCCTCATGTTGCTTGTACCTCAGTACCTCTCTTTTGCTCTTGCTCCCTTAATCTTATCCTAGGCAGCTCAAATCCTTTCCAGCAGTATGGTTTCGTTCTTACTCCACATTCCCTTCTCTAGTTTTCTCTTGCCTCCACCCTTCCTATCTCCCAGTTTTCATTTCTCTTACTCTGTACCAGTCCTACTCAAGCACATCATTCCCCCTCCGCAGTACCAGCCCCACAGTTCTCTTGGTTTCAACACTCCCAACTTAGTTTTTACAGCCATGTAGCCTCTCCTCCTCCAAGGGAAGTGTCCGCTGGGACGTGTCCAGATCACGTATTTTACTGCCCCCTGGTCCTCTTCTGCTTTTCCAAGCAGTTCACTTGCACTACTGATGTTCCCAATGCTGCCATGCAAACTAATCTGCTATAGAAATAAAAACAATTTATTTAGGTAGGAAGGCTGCTACAGGATTGGACACTGGGATTGTTCTGGTAGCCTGAAGATGCTTATTGGATCTCTCTGACATGTGTGACAGAAGTACAACTATGCTACCCTTTTCACTTGCCTCGCATTGCAGAATCAGGACAATGGTTACCCCTGAAGCTCTGCTGACTGAAAGGGTCTATATTCTGTCTCTTTGGGCTCAGCAGTGGTAAATGGCATACTTAAACTGTTTTCAGAAGTCTTCAGTTGTCTGTGTTTAGAAGTCCTTTAGAAAAAAGAATGTGCCCTAACAACTGGCAAGCAGAAAGACATCCTGGTGTCTGCTGAACTGGAAATGCACAAACTGACTGGCCAAAAATGCATCAGCTGCAAGGTTACTTCCTTCAATTCTGAACAGCACTTCATGCATACAAAGTAAAGCACCACTACCAAATGAGAATGTTCAACATCACTCTAACAGTACACCACTGCTGCTTACTTTAAAGCCCAGTGTTTCGCTCTTTACACAGAACGGTTATGAAACTTGGTATTACTTCACACTAAGAGAGAAATATATATGAAAAAACCACCAGAGTGCAGTTGTACAATTTTAATGTATTGCAAAGGCTTGTCTTTGGAAACAGGTTCTAATGCTACTCTTGCACACAGGTACACTTCCAAATGACTGTGCTGAGTATCTCTTATTGACACACATCAATATGCCACACTCTTACGGAATTTCACATGAAGAAACTATTTCAGATGAGAACTCTTTGTTTGCCTAACAATGCACTGCAACTGTGTAAAAACTACTCAGAAGAATTATGAAATCCATTTAGTAAGGCCACACAACATTAAAAGTCCAGTATATTGAATAAAATAATTTTATTTAATTCATTTGCTTTTTAAAAGAAAGTTTATGGAATCTGAAAGTTTATGATAAAAGGTAATTTTTAACTGAGACTTAATATGGGAGATTCTCTAGCCAAAATATGTCAAATAGTAAGATCATAAAGAACTCCAAGGTTCTGTGCTATACTGCATGATATGTAAACAGATTTTGAAAATATTTCCCCATTATATATTTTGACACAGTATGCACAAATTTAAAAAAATAAACTTGAAATGAAGTTTAAACGCCTCAAGGGATTTCCTAGAAGTAAAGCCATTTGAAAAGCCATTTACAGTCTGCGGTGACAAACTTCTATATAATCAAAATATCTCCTTTTTTCACAATGCAGAATAACCTGCTGAAGGCAACTCCCTACTGAAGTGATGCCAGCAACACAGATCTGATTGTATGACTCCAGCACTTAAAAGAGCACATTGGTTATACATGGCTTTTAACCCTGGGCTACAATTATGCTACCAGAACTAAATTCAAGTCTAAATCAGTCACATAAAGAAGTGTGTGTTGTCTGAACACTGTTTAAAGTCCGTGTTTTCCAGATCTGATGAAGGTGGTGAAGGCGCTCTGAGGTTCTTGTGCTTACATTCAGGGCAGGATGAACTTTGCAAATACCAGATTCTCCAATTAATGACAAACCACAGATCCCAAAGTAGGCATGTAAAGCATCTGAAAGAAGGACAGAAAAGGAAAAATAAAATTATCTCAGGCTGTAATAGCCAAATGTTCCTATATTCAAACACCCCTGAACAATTACATCCAAGGAAAACAAATAATCAGGTGCTATATTTTAAATCTGAATTTTGACAGAAGGAATCAGTTTTTGTCCAAAGCAGAACCAGCATGAACTAGTGACTAGTTTTGTTTTATAACTACTTGCACACTACTTTACTTTTTCTGAGTGCCATGGCCAAAGAATTTAAGCATCTGGAAACAACTCCAGTCCAGAAAACAAATTTTTTTCATGAAAGCATTTTTTGGCTGATAATTTTATGAACAGCTAAACTATTATGAAGTATTATGAACTTCCGAAACACTAAAATTAGTGCCAGCAGCTGCCAATAGCAAGATTTAGAAGAATGAAAGAAGTAATTACTTTTCCTAGCTTCACTCCTTCCTGAGAGAATACCCGAAGGATAGGAATTCATGCAGCTTGATCAACTGCCACCATTTCTTGTTCTATGTTGCTCCTGCTGCCCACCTTACACCAAGCACTAAAGTTTGCCAAATCTGCCTCCTCTGGGTAAAAGCAAGCTATCAGATTGGATTATCTGCCCATGGAATCATAGGCTAAAATGGAAAGAAGATGTGAACTTCATACGCCCCTTGCAAATTCTCAACATATATTAATCTGTGGAGGTGTCAGTAAATTCATATTTGACTAAAACGACCACAGAATCATTTAGGAAAAGACCTCTAAGATCAGAGTCCAACCCTTAACCTAACACTGCCAAGTCCAGCACTAACCCATGTCCCTAAGTGCCAAATCAACACATCTTCTAAAAACCTCCAGGGATGGTGACTCCACCATTTCCCTGGGCAGCCTGTTCCAGTGCTTAACGACCCTTCTGGTGAAGAAATTGAACTATACCTCCCTCTTTCCATTTCAATCATGATATTCTCATTACATTTTGAGGGATTTTTTTCCTTTTTTTTTTTTTTTTTTTTTTTTTTTGTTGAAGGAGACAACTTCCTTTATGCCTCTCAGATGTCGGACTGCTGCAATGTATTTCTAGCTTAGAACATACTCACCATAATATTTAAAAGTAATTTTACCTGGATGGCTATCTGGCCACTTGGCAAATCCACCAACAAGGCGATCTTGAGTTGACAGGATGTAATTTCGGTTTTTCTCAAAATTTGTATATTGGAATATATTCAAGAGCTGAAATTAGACCATAACAGTAATATAGTAAATCTTAGTATATTTTTAATACTAAAATATAGGGCTTATTTTAGAGGTAAGCAGTGACAGAAGGGAAAGCAGTAATCTGGTAAACCTCTATTTCCTGCCTTTTTGCAAGATGAAAGATCTTTATAATCATCGGTGCATTTGTGTTAAATATCTAACTCTTTCAATAGAGAAAATGATGCTTAAAGAAATCAAAACAAGTCAATAACTACCCTGTAGCTGTTCTGCACACTACCTTCAATGTTGCTCCCACCCAGAAGGAATAGCAAGTGTCTACAGGTTTGTTGGGTCGTCCATGGTAGCCATTCTGTTGTCTCATTATACACCATCTTCTTATTCTGTTCAGTTCTTTTTCTGAAAAAACTTCTTCCAGTTTACCCATCAAACACAGCGATGCAATACCACAGAATGTAGAGCCACCTGTGAAAAGAGAATCTTGTATTTGCAATGCTTTGATACCCAGATTTTCACCAAAACCTGTATGATCTCAGTCAGAACTTTAACTAAGGTGTTAACAATTAAATCAATGGATTTTTAGGAGTATGAAAATGTTAAGTTTAAAATCCAAATAGATAGAACACTTTAGTTCAGCAGGTATGTCAAAGAGGAAAAAATGCCCTCAACCCAGCTCTTGCACAAATAAACCTGAAATAATTTTCTTAAAGCTGGTTTTTCTCTCAATGCTGTGCATTTCTTCATATGTAACTTAAAAAAGAAAGCTATTGGGATGCCAGCAATCAGAGAGAAGCAGAGATGCCAAAGCCAGTCTCAGATACAATCCCCCAGAGGACATAAACAGACAGAAGTATCTGGTGAGCAGAAACTAAAAAAAAATTAAAGAGCATAGTTAATACCGTGAAAAGACTCTTGGACTCTCATGTTTGTAATATGTACAAATTGTGCTTCTAAGGAATTTTATGCTGTCAAGGAAACTCCATGGTAAAATTTGGAATTAGAAGAGAAACTCATGTTCTTTGTTTTTGTAGCATGATCATCACTTTTTAAAGCCCATCTACACTTATTATGAGTTTATTCCTTGATATGATAAAATTAGAGGCTGGGAAGGACCATAAATAAGCTGTTGACAGATGATCTGGGGCCCAAAGTTCCTCACACTATCCTGGTCCTGGAAGACCCCAGGAGCTCTAAGGTTATGTTCATTCTGATGCAAGAGAAGGCTGCTGCCGTAATGCTATCTGTTATCACTAGCACTCTACAGAAATTTAGTTAACCAATTGTTTTAATATGTAGGGATATAATTTAAGTTTTTCAGCTTTATCGATTCTGCAAGAAGAACACAGATGAAATCCTATCAAAGCTCAATAATAAGATAAATAAAGATAATAAATAATAAAGATAGCAAACATTTGATAGAATCATAGAATCACTCAGGTTGGAAAAGACCTCCAAGATCATTGAGTCCAACCTTTGACCAATCCCCACCTAGTCCAATAGACCACAGCATTAGATTTAGTATCACTCATATAAAAGTCAGTAGTTTCTCTGTCACAAGCAGACCACTACTTCATGGCATAGAAACATTTTGCTAAAAACCAGCAGTCTCTTGGAGATTCCTATCTTCAGAACTACTACCAACTGTCCACAAAAACTAACTGCTGCTGCTTCAAGATCTGAGCTGACAACAGATGCTGTGACTTATGAGAGGAAATGTTTCTAGATTTTACTAATAGCTGCTGAAACTGGAGATCATCAGGTGCATTGCACAAAATCTCTTGCAGATAAAATCCACAGAGTAGCAATGGCACGTGTGGAAAAAGTTTGATCTGTCAGCAAGAGATGAGAACCACAGCCAACACTTTTCAGTAAAACATTAATGAGGTAAAATTAATGGAGTTGATATATTAAGAGCCCATCTGTTCTGATATTAGGCTGGAACTAAGGGAAGAAGACGTCATATTCAGGGACATGTTTTGGATTTGCTCCTCCTCATCCCACTTCCTCAAAATCAGAAAAGAAGGAAAGGTATATCCTGCACCTCTTACAGCATTTTCAATCCCAGTCTTAAAAACAGGTTTAGAACATTTTAACATTCTTACCATGAGATTCCAGTCCAGCTCCCTGGGCCAGGCCGTTATCATAAGACTGAAGAAAAAAAATCCCACACACCAGTTGGTTTAGTACCACATCACTTTCACAGACATTGTAATTTCTTAGTTTACTAGCAAAATTGTCATCAGACCATAAGCACTATTTAACCTGATTAAATTCTGGACCTCCAAAAGCTCTTGGCCCCAAGCAGTTAAAAAATCAGACTTATTTTAATGTAGGCAGGTTTTATGACTTCCATGGAATTAATTTTAGTTGTGACGTATGTTAAAAGTCTGCAAACGGGTAAACATATCTTTGCCAAAAAGTAAAAGCATGTGATGCAGATAACCATTAAAGAAAAAGCCAAACCCATTTTTTTGTCCTTATAAAGAAAAAATGGGTACGTAATCAAAACAAAATTAAATGGATAATGTAATCTGTCTCTAACCCAAGAGCTGGCTAACATGCAAAAATTCAAGGTACTACTGTGTGTACAATACTCAAATCCAAGAAGTGCTTTAGTAAGAAGCAAATGTATCAGGCTTCAAAAAAAAAACAACAGAAGCAGTAAGACAAAATCTTTCCCCCATCCCCTCTACCGACTATGAATTTCTCATGTTTTCTCCAAAACACTCAACAGTGGCTAGTAGATACAGGACTCCTTGACAAACCACTAATGACTCCCACAGTCCTAACCAAAGAATGGCTACAGGACCTATCATGCCTTTAGGAATTACCTAAGGATTGTTTTGTAGATCTGCTTTTAAAGCTGACATTGAGAAGAAAAAGGGAAACAGAAGCAGACAAAGAAGTTAGATTAAAACTACATTGCTCGGTTTTTGAGTTGTTGCTGCAAGTTTAAGCAACTAAAAAGACTAACATCTGACACATACACTTCAAGCTGCAGCTTGACTTTCTAAAATTTGAACCAGTTAATTTTAAGCAATCCCCATGAACGTCTGAATGTTAAAGCACATGGTGTGACCTCTTAGGCACTGCCTTTTGAGAAAGCAATGCAAATGTTCTACCACACTCCACAGACCCATTAATTGCTATGCAAAGGCAAGTTGATTAGCAAAGCTATGCTGGCAAAGCTAATTACTCTACAAACAGCAATTGTAAGGGGAGGTGGTTTGCTTTAGTATGACAAAGTAATTAGCTCCAGAAAAAAGCTGTTAAGAGTGTATCCCAGGCAGTCTCCTATACTGGGCTGTTCAATTAGCTTAAAATTCTAATTGACAATAGCTGACCTTTGGCTTAACTTATTTATTTACAGGCAGCAGCTGTTTTTCGGGGACTTGTGTGCATTAAAAAACTAGGGAAATACTTCTATTTCTTTGTCCTTCTGAAAGAAATCAAGAAGCTATGCAAAAGAGGTTCTGGGTTACTGCAACATGAAAACTTCATAATTAAATACTATCCTCAGAAAACGTGTAAATCCAGTTGGGATTTGAAGCAAATCTTTGCTTCCAAGTCTGAAAGTTTCACAACCAGCTTAATTATATCAACAGACTAATATAATTGCATTTCAAGGAGACTCTAGGATACTGGCACAAGCAGATGCTATACTTAAAGCTTCTTGCAATATCTCTACTTTAAAAAAAAACAAGTAATGTTGCAAAAAGCAGTATTATAGAGTCTCTAGAACTAATGTAAAATTTCAGCATTTTAGTGTCTGTTGTGTTTTGATTAGTGATATACCTGACTTTTGAACATAAAAGACAAATATCAACCTGTACTGATAAAAATTGTGTGATTGAAATTCAACTATTTTACTGACAATAAAACTGGTCTAGAATTATTTTTGTGATCAGCATTGCATAAACACTTTTTAGTCAAGCAATAACAATAAGGCTATCCATTCTGTATAAAGACTCAATCCTTTTTAATATTTTAAATCTTATTTAATGTACCAATCTTCTACTGTTCTTGATATGCCTAACTACACAAACATGCTCCCTCCTTCAGCTGTATTGAATTGTATCTGTCACAATTCTTATGCTGCATCATGGAAAGGAACAAATTTCAAAGAATAAGCTAAAAAATTCAGAACCTTATTACAAAGATTACTGTGTTTAACCAGCCATGCTACTCTCAGTCCATATTAGTTGCACTTCACATGTATGCCAATCTGGAAAACTGGAAAAAGTTCTGTTAACTGTCATGTGCTTCATTTATGTGCAAATGATGACATACAATAGTAAATCAAACCCACACCTCAAAGCAGTTTACTACTGAGCAAGGCAATCTCTTTTGTTCTGTAATTAATGAAAGTGACAAAACAAGGTGATACTGTAGCAAAACAGGAATAAGCATTTGCAATAGAGTCTATACCTATATGCACTGCATAGTTAGCTACACAATGAGTAACAAATGATATGATCTCAAATAGAATTTCCTTTGAATTGTTCTATACATAGGTTATTTTTAGCATCATCTACAAAGTCTTAATGGGAGAAATCGAGCTTACATTCGTGGATGCCACATTTCAAATTCATTGTATTTATTTATGAGATACACTTTCAGAAATACTGTGTTCATATGAGAGGTAATTGAACTGGAATACATCTCAAGGAGAGTGGTGGAAAGAGATGAATGAAAGGAAGGAACAACCACTGCTGTGAAATGATTTTCACAATGAATGTCTGAATCCCTGAACGTCTGAGTCTTCTTCAGACACATCTTTAGCTCTAAGTGTGACTAAGCAGGAGGCAAAGGTTGTGTGTAGTTTCCTAGAAGTACCAGACACCTTGCAACTGAACTAATGCATTGAAATACTGTCTGACCAAGCAGTCCAAACCCAGAAAACACAGATGAAACTGGTGCACATGTGCATACCAACCCTAGAGTGAATTAACAGCACACCAATGGTTTTTAAAAAGTCCTACTGAACAAAGTGTATAGTCAACTTACCAATTCACAGTAAACCTGGACAAAAATACAGCATCTCATCACACATTTCTACATGCTAAGATTACTGCTGTCTACAGAACGCTGCTGATAGGATCTCTATAAGTTACTCTCTGAGCCAGCCAGGAAAAGACACAATCTTCATTATAAGCCACAGTAGCTTCTCAACTTTGACCATGCCCAGACTCCGGTTTTACATCACTGGTCAAATGAAGTATTAGTACAAGCCCTTCCAAGAAGTCATGCTCTGTTCAGGCTTCAATTATTTTAATTATTATTTAATTATTATTTTAACTGGTATCAATTATCCCAATAGGAACACAACAATTGGAATTTGCAGGTATAAGGATTAATGCTAAGTTCTAGAAGCAAAGCATAAATTTGGTTCAAGATCACTGTAGACAGTAAATCTCCAGTGCCATTTCAAAGCTCCAAACTTTCAAAGAATCTCCACTTGCCTGCTCCATTAATGGCCTTATATGATACTCTCTAGCTTGTCTTAGAAAGAGTTGCTTCCTCCTCCCTTCATCTTTTCAGTGCTACTTATTTCTTTACATACCTCTGTCACACTGCACTTAACAATCTTATTTCCAGAATAAAGAGTCCTAGTATATTAAATGCTCCTTTTACACAAGCTGGATCATACTTTCACAGTTCCATTCAACTTTCTTCGTACCCTGTCCAGTTCCATCTTATCTTTTGGGACCAAAACTGCACTCAAATGCTCAAAATGCTAACAGTCAATGTGATGTACAGAACTACAAAATGAGGATTTTGCTCTTTCGTTTTCTGTTCTTTCTTAGTATTTGATTCTCCTATTCGATTTCTTCTAAGCTATTTGACTAAAGGCTAAACTCAGTAAACCCAAAGGTCCAGAAAGGATCAGAGGAGGAAAAATCCTCCTGACCTAATCAGTAAAAGCTAGCACTCTGCCTTGGCTCCTCCCTCAGACTGTGAAAGGAGAATGGATAAATCACTGTCCCCAGGTGAAACCTACCAAGAGTATTCAGCAGGGATATTCTCACCCTGGGAACCTCTGCTACTAAGGTGAGTTACCACCCAGTGGGGTAACGGGGCTCTTATGGGATGCAGGGGAAGAAAACTGCAGGATTATATAAAAAAAACCACCAACTTATTATGGAGTGTTCTCTGGGGAATGCAGGAGTGTGCATAATTTATTATGGGGTGTCTAGGGAAAGGATCAATGGTGAGAAAGGGAAGTATCAAAGCAGACTGAGGAAGAACAAGCAAAAGAAAACAAAGGTAAAAGGTGCTACTAGAGTGTGAACAGACTGCAGGTCCATATGCTTCTATGACTGAGCCCTGGCCTTAACCCCTTAGTCCGTCCAAGACCATGGCAACGTGTCAGAAAGCTTCTTGTGAGGTGCAGTAAAAAAAACTTAGGCATCCAACTACCTCCTTTAAAAATAAACAAGAAATAAAACCCAATTTGGTATGAAGTAGGAAATTAAGCCTTTTTTAGACTTGTTTCTCACATAAATTTTACAATCTCACTGTTGGCAGCAACTGCTCATTTACAGCAGAAGTTGTACGTTGTTATAAATTTGGGTCTTTTTTGTGGACCGAAAGAGTTTACTACACGTTTACTCACATTCAAGGAACTGCAGTTTTCAAGCTTGCTCAGCTTCTTTAAACAAAATTTATTTTAATCTTGGAAAATGAAACTCAATTAAACTAATGAAATATCACGGGGGGGAAAAGAGGAAAAAACTCCTTTACTCCAACCAAATATGAAGACAGCACACAGATACAATCATGTGTATTTTCCTTCATTCCAAGTATCTAATAAATAAATAATGAAGTGCATAATTGAAAACACTTATTAAGTATGAACTGATGTCAATAATTAGTTTTTCCTTTAAATCTGTGTATCTTTTAAAAATCAGGCCTACAGGTCAATGAAATGTGAGGATTTTATTGATACAGCGCTTTATATACTTTTTCTAAGTTACAGGAACATCAGGCCTCAGTTTTCAAAAACTTGCTTTAAATTTTTTAATGATTTTATATATTTTTAAAAGATGTAATTTGAAATGAACAAACACACCAAATAAAATTATCTTGATAGCACACCCATTACAATGAAAATACAAATGCAAAAAAACCCAATGTACTTTGTCAATTTCGATTTGCTAAAGCAGGAAGAGGAAATAAAGGAATTACCATAATACATAAATTTGGAAAAAGATATTTTTTAGCCATAATTAAGAAATAAAGCTATAAATGTTAAACTGTAGAAAGAAATAACATTTTGTGAATACTCACCATACTTCTTCTGATGTAGTCTATAGCTTTCTTCATATCCATGCCTGACCAGTTATCGAGCATGTAGCAGATACAGGAAGCACAGTACACAAACCTCATATCATTCTCACTTCCTTCCAGCACAGCACAGAAACTGAAAGAAACATTTCTGTCTTAGACACTGTGTCGCCTGTTACACCAGAAAATGCGAAAAGCAGTTCATAGAATTGCACTGTGTTTCCTTTAAAGATTAGTTACTTCTATTTACAGTAGTCTCATAAATATAACCCAAAGCTATGCTAGATTTTGTTTTTAGAAGACGTGACTCTAAGCCAAGGAAAATGAATAGAACTACTAACATTTCAGGGCCTGGGTGACTATTTCCAGCAATGTAATGACACTGGTCTTTATTTATTCATTCATACCCTTTATAGTATATACTGATATATGAGTTAACATTTTGACATTTACTGTTTTGGGCAGAATTTTTTGCCTTCCTAGGAATCCTAATAGCTCACAAAGCTTTCTTTCCTGATTTTATCTTCAGGATCAGTTTCCAATGTATGTGTAAATGTAATTGCTAATACTAAAACAAACGGTGAAAATAGCCTTCAATTCAGTTTTTCATTTCTTATGGTTATAACCTTTTCAAACTCCATGAACATTTTAAAATTATTGTATCTGGGTTATTTTGGCACAGTCTCAGAAACTCTTAAAATGATGATGGATTCCATGATTGTGACACTTGTATAAGAAAGTGGCCAGCAGGGCCATGACAGTGACCGCCCCGCTGTTCTCAGCACTGGTGAGGCTGCACCTCAAATCCTGTGTTCAGTTTTGGCCCCTCGCTACAAGAAAGACACTGAGGTGCTGGAGCGTGTCCAGAGAAGGGCAAGGGAGCTGGGGAAGGGTTGAGAGCACAAGTCTGATGACGAGCAGCTGAGGGAACTTGTAGCAGTCAACCTGGAGAAAAGAACACTCGGGAGACTTATCACTCTCTACAACTACCTGAAAGGAGGTTGTGGCAAGGTGAGGGTTGGTCTCTTCTCCCAAGTGGGACAGAGGAAATGGCTACAAGTTGTACCAGGGAGGTTTAGATTGGGTATTTGGAAAAATTTCTTCACCAAAACAGGTTGCCCAGGGAAGTGAGGGAGTCACCATCCCTGGAGGTATTTAAAATACCAACAGATGTGGTGCTTAGGGACATGGTTTAGTGCTGGACTTGGCAGTGCTGGGTTAATGGTCGGACTTCATGATATTAGAAGTCCTTTCTAACCTAAATGATTCTATGATAAACAGAAGTAGGTAAAAAGTTGAATTACCTGTGACAATAAATAATCTTCAACTGTTTCTTGCTGACAAGCCTCTGGTTCAAAGAGCTAGTTAATATACTTTGATGACAACTATTTGCAAGAAGTCAGCACATGCACTGGCATGTGTTCTGTGACTGATATTGTTTCTAATAGAACAAAAAGATTATATAGCTACTTTCATAAAAAATGTGTTTCTTATGTTTTCTTCCACATGTGGCTTCCTATTAACCATCCAGAGAGTTGCAGACTACAGAATATCTTTTACCTTCCATCCTCCAGCTGGAGCGCTCTCAGTCCTGTCAGTATGGCATCTTTATTTACTCGACTTAAATCATCTCCAAGAATAACCAGACATGATAGACCTGTGTAAGTCATTGCTATGTGCCCGCTATCATAGGGATGAGATATACCTGGACCCTAGAAAAAACAGGAAAAAATAAAGATATTGAAACATCACAATGCCTTCTATTACAGTCAAGCTTTTTTTTTCTAATTAAAAGGTAAACAAATTTCTTTTCCCTTGACTCATTATGGTTAAACTGAAGGCATCTTGCTCAGCTTTCCTCATCAAACGAAGCTACTACTAAGCTCTGTTACCCTTGTAAACACTTGGTCAGAAGGAAGCTTTGGAAAAAGCTCTGCCACGAGTTTTATTTATGCAACAGTTAAGCAAAAAGATGGGATGTCCTCAACTGTACCTAAGTTTATCCTGACACAACACTGGGCATTAGCTTCCTGGCAGCTGGGTAAGCACTGTTAAACAGCCAAACCTCTGGAGGTCCCCTCAGCAAAGATTTTACAACCTAATGATCTACAAGTACAAAGGAATATGAGAGATTATTAGTAATCTCTCTGTCAATTAGCCACTCATCTGCTTTCATGTCTATTTTAATACAATAATCAGACCTTAAACAAAGTATTTACATATCAAATAATCAGAGGAATATAGAATATACTGTGTTGAAGGGTCACACAAGGATCATTGAATGGCAATTGAGAAGCTAAACTGAGAGTTAAGTGCTGACTAGTCACACAATACAAATCACAGAAATGGGCAGGGGATTGATGCTGCTGTGCTAAAACTATTATTTGTCTTTCTGGTATTTTACAGGCACATCTCGAACTGTACGACTTCATGAAAACAGACACTACATGTAACAAGATGCCTGTGGATACTTGGGATGGTTCAGTTTGGAGCAACTGAAGACAACTATTTTAAACAGGATAAAAGCTATTTCAATACTGAGTAGCAGATACATTTTTAAATCATTATATTACTGGCATTACTGCCTAATCAGTTGCCATTTTTATTTTGCAAGTAATTCTAAAAAATTCTAAATAAAAACCAGTATAAAACCGAATTTAATATTATGTTATGTGTAGTTGGTATTTTTCAGGAAAGTCATGCTTACTTCCAAAGCCAAAAAGCTTTGTTTCTAATAGGAAACTGGAAGAAAAATAGTTACCCACTAGACAGCAAGGGACTGCTCTCACACTAGGGAATCAAACACAGTTGGGAAAGCAAGGCTGATGCCAGCTCAGCTGATGCTAAGAAAAAAACTCAGGAGCAGTTAACTGAGGGTGAGATAAGGAAAGGGTTTAATTTGTGCCAAGGCATAGATGTTACAGGATGCGCACCGGCTGTGCCTGAGATGTTACATTTTATAATACTGCTTGACCAATCCAAGTTTTGCCCACCCCGTAGCCTTTGCTCTGGTCCGCCCCGGGCCCACCCCCTGGGAATTAGAGTCTAGGGTGTACATCGGGACCCCCTCTTCATCATTCTCATCATCCTCAGAGCACAAAGGGTACACGGTCAGTCAAGAACAACAGTTCTTGACTCTGTTCTGTTGTTCAGGCCAAGATATGAATGTTCTCTAAAACAGCATAGGCCTTGCCTTGACAAGAGACTAAACATTTCTACTGAATTCAGGGGTAGGATTGATATAGGAAGCATGGAATGGGGTAGGAGGGTTGAGGTATGTGTAAACTAAAGGGTGCTAAAGGGTGAGGAATACAGTATAGCTGCTTCTAAAATATACTTCTACTATAATTACATATAAAGCTTATAAAAATTAGCAAAGTAAAAAAAAAGCTAAAAGGGTCTTAAGGCATCAAGGCAGAAAATGAGGTGAAATGACTGCAGCAGTACTGGAAAAGTATGGAACAGAGAAAAACAAGAGACTTAAGTGCTGAGAGCTGCACCTTTTCTCCTTCATTTCTGCTCCTGGACCCTGTGATGACAAGGGGGCACAAATCTCAGCAGCTCCCACTCCATTCCCTGTGCTGCCAGTGCCCACATTGCTGTCTCCTGTCCTGCACATCCCCCAGTCACACACACACAACCACAGAGTGGCAGAGGCTGCAGGAGCTCTGGTGTTTGTCTGGTCCAACCTCCTGTTCAAGTACTGTCACCTACATCTGGGCACCCAGGCATCCAGATGGCTTCTGAACACCTCCAAGAATGGATATTCCACCAGCTCCCTGGGCAACCTTGCTAATGCCTGATCACCCTCACAGTGACACTGTTTCTGGATGTTTAGAGGAAGCTTCCTGTATTCTAGTGTGTGCCTGTCACTGGGCACCACTGCAAAGAGCCTGGCTCCATCCTCCTTGCACCCTTCCTTCATGTATTTCTACACATTCATGAGAAACCCCCAGACCTTCTCTTCTCCAGGCTAAACAGTCCCAGCTCTCTCACCCTTTCCTCCTAGGAGGGGTGCACCAGTTCCAGACAGACTTCCCCATGGAGCACCCCACAAATGGAGAACAGCTGTGCCCTTAAACAGCTTAGAAAAAACTACTGCAGAAATGAAACGCATTTTTCTATCTTGAGTGGATGACAGGCTCTAATCCCAGAAGGAACAAGTTGGCCTACCATAGCAATTTTAGGGTTTTTAAATCAAACAGTACCAAAAATTTTTTTTTCAGAATACCTTCACCTTAAAAATTTTATTGTAAGCAGCTTCACCCTTGTGACGCATTAACTTATTCCAAATCTAAAATTCTGCTCCAAACATACAGACATATTGGGTGATACAAATTTGCCAACACATAGAACTATTTAGTTCAATGAAACCGATTTACTTTTAAGCAAAGCAAGACTCTATTCTAAAAAGCCAAATTTGAAATGGTTCTTTCCCCTAAAAGGATTCTCAATGTCCCAGTTCTGCCCCTAAAGTTTCTCACAGTTTTTGTCAAATGAAATAAATGACACACACTAGGCAGTAAAAATCCCTGGAAAGGTTATCAGATATTAGGACCAACTGCTTACAAAATGTCCCAGCAGTTCCCATCAGCAACTATGAAGAAAATTAAGCTTCCAAACATCTACATAATTTAAGTTAAAGTAGAATCAGAGGAGCACTTGATTTCTTCCTCCTTGGATTAACCTAGAGCAAGGGAAATGCAGAAGATGCTTCTGCTGATTTCAAACAAATACAACTGAGCCTGCGAATCAACATTAACTGTTCACCATGGCTGTTCACACACTTTTATAGGTAGTTCATCTCCAAATAAATACTGACATCAGGAATAATTGAACAGTAATATGTACAGTGAAAGAGTTTGCCTTTACCTTTGAATATATTATTTCCACAGGAAGACTACACTCACTAAGCAAGGAAGGTTTACAGAAGTATATTGAGACTTGCTTTTTAAAACCATATTTATAAAAAGTCTACTCAAATGTTCTAACTAAAAGAAATATGCCTGACTATTCAGGAAATTTTCTAAGACATCTACAGCTGTCAAACAACGTTCTCCTCTAAATGACAATCTTTTCACAGTCTCTACACAAAGTAACTGAAAATTACTGCTTCACTAGATATTTTTATTCTACTTTTCTATATACATGCTAATTTTACATTGCTTTTAAAGCCTTAGTAGCCTACAAATATGTTTAAACAACTGAGCCCTTACTTTTTAGTGGATTCTTTATTTTAGCATTTCTTTTACACCACTAGTTGCTGCAGCAAAAATAGGCTGCAGACAAAGTGTTATAAGCACATATACTGTATGCTCACAAAACACACCACCATTCCTCCTCTAGCAAATTGCATCAATCATGACAGCACCTGAACAACATATGAATTCTATCTGTACTTGTTTCCTATGCAAATATTTCAAAATGTAGCAGTAGCACACTGCTTTTCCAGATAGAGGTTTTCAGAAACACCCGAGCTGTGTAAAATTTTTCAAGTCTGGTATTTTTAATAAAGAACACAAATGATACTGGTATGACACATATAAAGCAAACAGTAGTGTCTGCTGCCTGTACATGCAATCGTGAAGTCCACAGCTACATTAGTACTGTCACTCACTTCTGTCCTTGAATACCAAACAAATCCTTATGCAGAAAAGACTGCTAGGATAGATGGGTTGTAATGTTGTTTTGTGGGAAATCAGGGAGATGGTGTCAGCGTTCAAGAACAGCTATTTGTAAGTCACAAAACTGCCTTTGTTACTAATAGTTTTCTCTTATCACAGGATTATCATGTGGCAAGTAATTAAATTCTTTATATGATAAATCGGTATACTGCTAGGTATCTTGATAAATAATTACTAAAAAAGCCAGGGGACACTACAGAGGGTCCAACATACTGGTATGCATCCAATGTCTTGACAACTCTGGGTTAGGCCCAAAAATCCTAACAAATACAGTCAATATTTCCATAAAATCAAATTAAACACAGGAGGATTAGCACAAAGTATGAGATCATACAGGAATTACTGTATGACATACTCACAGAGGCCAACATGATGTTTCAGATGCGTAATTACTGTAGGATTTTTGAAAGTTTGGAGAGCCTAGCAGATCTTTGTTCACCACACATGATTTTAGAAAAAATTAAAACAGTATTCACCATAAGAATAATATACTCTTAAACTTTTAAGTCTACTGGAATGCACTTTATCTTCTAGGTTCCATGTAATTATTGCAAGATCACTGTGATACTACTTATAAAATTTTATGTTGTACCTACACACACCTATATATACTTCACACACTGATGCAACAGAACACAGAGTCCACATAATAGGATGCTTTTGAGGGGACAACAATCAGGACAATTGGATGTTTCAGACAAAAAACCCCCCTCCAAAACCAAAACCCCAAATTTTGCATAAAATTGAAAATTCCTAAAATTTGTAGTAACTGGTCCTGTGAGAATTTGGTACCACAAAACAGGACTCAAATGGATCCCCCAAATGCAAAAAATTACAGCAGATCTCAAAGGTTTCATGAGATAACTGCCAATATGTCTAAAATTTGCATGGGTGGGAGGAAGTGTTGCTAGACTGCCTCTGCTACGAAGAACAAAGTAATTCAGAGATTGCGTAGAAATCTTATCGAAGACAGCATAGTCAAAGCACATGATCAGGTTTGGTAAAAATAAGTTAACTTTTAAGTTCTG